TGAAGAAAAAGTTGAATTTTCAACAAGATGTCTGATACTATACTGTATCATGCTTTCCACTCTGTGCTAAACTAAACCAAAGCTAAAATCAGTACAGGGATGAGTCTTTTTCTCAACAGCTGGAGAAAATGGACAGACCCACCATAAAAGCAGTGTAAAGGAGAGGCTCACCTCTGCTGCTCTTCTGGGCAAAAGGGACTGGAAAAGGGAGAGAGTTTGCCCAGGCCCTGCTCACTGCCCAGGCTGGTGGCAAGGAGGGGGCTAAGGGCAAGCCCTTAGTGCTGACGCTGCTCTCCACTTCCCTCTCTGCTTCCTTCCTTTTCTACAGGAAACTATTTTAGCACATTTAAGTTCCCTTCACCCACATTTTAATTTGGTACACCAGGAATCTCTTTGATTTCCTACTTTTCTGTGTGGTGGACCACTCATCAGTATAACCGACACATTTCACTTCAGCAGTGCCTGCACTTTGGTGCTTGACAAAGTACAAATGTAGACCCATGGCAAATATTGCCTTCCAGCAGTCATTTATCAGTGCTCAAAGGCCAGGAAATCATTTTAGGTGGACAGATGTACCCATGACCCTGATATGCTGGACCTGACAGCTATGCTATATTTGATGTAATTCTGACCTGAAGGGGATCTTAAAAGATGCTGAATTTAGTACTATTTTACTTTGAAGTAAACACGTCAAAATTCTTGAGGTGTCATATTCTCAACCATAGTTTAATTCATTTCATGGAACTTTGAGCTCAATAGCTTTAAATGTAGGAAATACAGGAACCTCAGCAATGCCTGTGCTCCAAAATGAATTAATTAAAGAAAAAATACTTCAAGCTCCCAAGTCACATCTAAAATACTACAGAACAAAATAATATCTACACATATTTCTATAGCTTAACTGAAACACTCCAGTTTAGCCCCTGGACCAGACCATGAGAATTGTTCTGTGTTTTTCTTCCTTTCAGATGCTTGAACTCACCCTCTGTCCATCCTCAAGTCCCTACAATTACTGTCCACAATCCTCTTCATGCAAGAAACTGCACTGTGTTCCTTCTGTTACTATCATCTAAACCTGGGTGTCCTGGTGGACGACAGGTTAACCATGAGCCAGCAGTGTGCCCTGGCTGCCAAGAAGGCCAATGGCATCCTGGGGTGCATCAAGAAGAGTGTGGCCAGCAGGACGAGGGAGGTTCTCCTTCCCCTCTACACTGCCCTAGTGAGGCCTCATCTGGAGTACTGTGTCCAGTCTGCAGGGTGGGTGTCAGGAGGATGGGGCCAAGCTCTTTTCAGTGGTGCCCATTGACAGGACAAGGGGCAATGGGCACAAACTGAGGCACAGGAAGTTCCGTCTGAACATGAGGAAGAACTTCTTCCCTCTGAGGGTGACGGAGCACTGGAACAGGCTGCCCAGGGAGGTTGTGGAGTCTCCTTCTCTGGAGATATTCAAGACCCGCCTGGACAAGGTCCTGTGCAGCTTGCTGTAGGTGACCCTGCTTCGGCAGGAGGGTTGGACTAGATGACCCACAGAGGTCCCTTCCAACCCCTACTATTCTGTGATTCTGTCATTCTGTGATTCTGTGACTCCTCTTCTACAATTTTTTATATAAATAAATTATAAATTATATAAATATTTTTTTATAAATCCTTCCATTGCATGCTCAAAACCCATGGATGACTAATACAGCCTTAAAATGTCTAAACCAAAAAGACCTAGAACAATGATATCAAGGCATGCAAGACTGGCCCCGTGTGAATTTTGCCTTATTTGCACGATATATAAATAAAAAGTTATTGTTAATGATAATGGCACTATTGTGTGTCGTGTTGGTGTGCTGGACATGGCTTTGCACTTTGTTGTCATGAGTCATTCATAGTTATCTTTTAAAAGAGTAGAAAATCTGTTGAGGAGAGTCATGGTGGCAAGCCTAATGTTTCACCTATCTATTGGATAAAAGTCACGTAGTTGAGAGGTACAGATACAACATTTCTGATCACCATAAATAATCTGTCCCTGGTAGAGCTCATCAGAGACTCCAGAAGAGAAGTAGTTCACCAAATGATAAATGATGCAAAATTTCTAAGTAAAAATGTTACTGTTGAAGAATCCTTATTTATGAAAAGAGATCACAATCTGCTCAGAGACAGCATTGCTGTCTGAACAAAAAACACTGTAGTGATTGCAGTTTAAAACAGGGAAGATAAAATAGATAATTAAATACTTACAAGAGCTATAAAAAAAATCTTAAAAAATAAATGAAAGGAGCTGCCAAAAGGATGAAATTTTTAGAACTGACCAGAATACTGCTTAAGACAGCAACATTTCAGAGAAGGTGTGCATCAGCTTAGTTTAAGAGTTTAAGAGGTCAGTAAAGTCTGGGATGTTCACAGTGCAGTGCAAAAAACTGAAAAAAGGAATATGGAGGAAAAGGCTTCAAAGACAGAAATATGTGTTCAAAATCAATCAAGAAGAAAAAAAATGGGAAAAAAAAGAAAGAAAATTTATACCATTGTATAAAAATGTCGTAGATTAGCCCAAGTATGACTTTGAGAAAAAAACTTGCTAAATTTCCTTACAACTAAAAGTCTACGGGGCTGGTAGATATAATCAAGACATTAAAAAAATGCACAAAGGAGACCAAGGCTGCAATTTAAGTCCTCACTTCAGCTTTTCTCACAAGAAGACCTAGTGAAGTTCTCACTGCCACAGAAACAATTTGGAGGAACTGTCTCAAGTACAGTGTCAATAAGAGAGATTTGAGAATAAATCAATAACATGAAAAAATAAAGTGCAAGGAACAAACAAAGTTGTAAAAAAATTCCAGCATGAAATTGACACATTTTGAATTCTGTTATTTAACTTCACACATAATCAGCACCAGAAGAATGAGAAGTGGCATCTATAGGGCAGGTCTTACTACAGAATCCTGAAGAGGACCAGAAATCACAAATCATTGTGTGTGACATGTCAAGCTGTGCAAAGCAGTAGGAGCAAACTATACTAAAGAACAGAATTAGTATGCATATGGACAAACGATAGGGATTGGCCTTTGAAAGGGCACTTATGCCTGATAAATCTTCCACGTTTATTTTAAAGAGTCAGTGATGCAAGAAAACTGGCTGATACAGCAGATGCAGGTTATGTTTAAAACTCGCAATACGAGCATCTTTGGGCATCTAGGAGCACACATTAGATAAAACCAAGTGGGAATCCACAGACCATCATACGTGAGGCTCAGTGTTCGTGTTTTTTTCCCACCAGGTCCCTAAATGTATGACCAGGGATAACAAAATGCTGCATATGGATTTCCAAAGGCTTAGGTGAAGGTCTTTCAGCAGGGTTCACTAAGGAAATGAAACCGCTACAAAGTAAAAGAGAGTATTTCCTGTGGACCAGCTAAAAGATAGGAAGCAAAAGGTTGGAACAAGTGCTTAAATTTCACAGTGGAGGGAAGTCACAGAGTTCCTCAGAAACATGTTCTGGAATCTGGGCTTTGAAAAATGGATGTACATCAGCTAGAAAAGAGTGGCTAGAAGGTGACAAAGTTTGCTAGTAATACTGAATCATTCAGAGGAGTGAAATCAAAATATCAGTGCAAAGAATTGCAGATAGATCTTACGATATTGAGTGAGTGAATGATAAAAAAACAGGTGAAACAATTGAATTCAACATTGACACTTTTCACAGGGAAAAACTAAACTACATCCTAAATTTACAAATCCAGTAATGAACTAGTTAGCTCAGAAGCTAGCTCTTACTACTCAGAAAATGTATCTTTGGTTTACTGTACACAGTTCTGTGCAAACATCGGCTTACTGCTCAATACAAGTAAGAAAACCTAAGTAAATGACTAGAAATTGTTAAGAAAGGAATAGAGATAACAGTAAAGAACCTTATCATGTTATCATGCAAATAGGAAGTGCTGTGTTCAGAGCTAGAAAAGATCAGTTTATGGGTTTAGTCTCCCAGTCTCAAAAACAGAAACCTGAAAAAGATACAGAAAAGTGCAACAAGGATCATCAATAATACGGGACAGTATCCGTACTTCTCAAAGAGTGATCAAGCAATTTTGACATTCTTTGTATGGAAAAGAGGTGACTGATAGGGTATTATGGTTAATATCTAGAAAATCATTAATATGATTTGGAAAGTGAAGAAAGAACAATTATTTGCTGTTTCAGCACAGGAACTGAAGTCAAGCAGTAGGTTTAAAACAAAGAAATGAAGTAGTTTCACACATAACTAAAAATTAAACCTTATTTCCACAAATGTTGTAGAAACCAAAGCATAACAAGATTCAAAAAGTAACTGGAAAAAATCATGAAAGAAGAAATGGCCAAAGATTATTAAACTGAAGAAATTGATTCAGGAAGTCCCTAAAGTTCCATTAGCTGAAATACAACGGTGAAAATCTCTCATCCACTTCTCATTTTTTCCCAAAGAATTCATTAGTTGTCACTGTCACTTGGACAGGCTCCATGACCTCTCTTCTGACTCTTCTTCAGAAAGTTTGACTCCAACAGCACTAAATCATGATCATAGATAAAATGAATATCTGATCCATAATCTCCCTTTCTTTATTTCATTTTACCCTTGCTTTACACTAATTAAGCCAGCTTTGATTTAAACACTGTGTAAGAAGAAAACAGACGCCAGAACATTGTTGCATATACAAATAAAGTTGTAGCAGTGGAATATTAAAAGAGCCCCAGAAACAGCAGTGGACTCTATAGCTGTCATACACCCGAAGATTCAGCAAGACTCTAGTTTGTCATTTGATCCATGGATTTACAAGTCGTGTCAGAGTTTACAGTTACTTAAAACAAGTGTATATTCAGTACAGAAAAAAGCAATGCAGCTCTGTAGAAGCAATGCAGCTTTGTAGGAGGGTATTGATTCTAGCTTCTTTCAAAGTCTAAGAAAGTAGATATTAATTACTTTAGACTTTATGCTTGTGCAAATACTGAAAAACAGCATAGCACAGCTATGCATTACGTACCAACTGACTCTCTGTCATCATAGGTGCCGATTTGTAAAGGCTGGCCTGCAAAAAAGGTAAATATATACAATATTACACACAATATCATAGTTACAATAGCAATGATGGGAACAAAAATCCAAAAGGATAAATTTTTTCACTCATGATGATTCACTGTTTCACTGTTAATGGCTCCTGACTGACAAAGTAATGCATTTACATTTGTCATTTTACTTGTATTTTTCTGAGGCCTGTTTTAGGAGGAGGAAAAATACATGGACAGCATCATGCTTGGGTACAGAAGCTTTTACCACTGATGCAATTGGTAAGAGAAGTTGAAATATTGTCATTTCCATTTTAACACTAAGTATAATCAATTCTAAATGCCTGTTGCTAAAATTTTAGGGATACTTTTTTCTAAGTGCAACGAGATTTCACTTTTTCATCTTGAAAAGTAAATTCTGATATTTCTGAATCTGCCTTTGTTTGTTAATTTGTAGCATCAATATTATTAACACTATCAATTGTATGGGGAGCTTGGTCCAACCTTCTCATTCTCCTGACTTTACATTATGAAAACCAGAACGACGTTATTGGAGCATTACATTTCTTTTCTGAGTATACAATGAACAGCAGAAGCCCTGTTTTCAAGATCAAGGGTAAGTGTGCTAAATACAAAGTATTTGTGTTTGTATGCGAAATAGTCACATGCCACACACTTATTTGCCTGCACTGTGGCAAGATTCAGGATTTCTGGTGATCAGTTCCTTCAAACTCTGTAGGAGTTCCTCTGGATAACACAATGTTTCCATACAGATAACATGCCCTTCCTTGATGTAGGCATGACTTTCAGGCCTTGAGACTCTAAAATGTGAATATTCTTCAGTATAGTGGTAAAAAAAGTACTAGATACAACGAACAGATGTTATAGCTATAGTACAAGACAAGCCAGTGCCACTAAAGCCTGCACCCTCTGTAGAAAGACCACTACAGTTGGATTTTTGTTGTCTCAACTATATCTTTTCACAGTTTCAAGCAGAAAAGCAATTCCAGCACGTTTGGAGAGGGAAGAATGTGTTCTTCCTTTGTTCCCCCATGACAAAGACCTTGCAGATATTTGGCCACAGAATTCCAGATGTGGTCTCCCAAGTGCTAAAGATAGATGTTTAATCACTTTCTGGACCTGCTGGGTCTACTCCCCACCAAGAGAACTTACATCTCTGAACACAGCCTCTGGTGGGGGAAACATCACCCACACAAGGACAGCTGTGATTTAGCACTAAATCTACAAGAAGTACATCTTCTGCCCTTAACAGAGTAAACTAGAGTTATTGGTAGTGGTTAGTCACACAGTAGGGACTCTCTTTCATACCATTAACTAAGTGTGACAACCAATCTCATTGTGAGCTTAAAGACATCAAAGCACTTCACAACAATCTACAGATACAAGTGGCTGGAATTAGATTCTGCACTTCAGTGGTGCAAATTAATTGTAAATCTCATTTCAAAGGGGTTACCTGAGATATATATAAGCACAGCAGACTGCAGATGAAGACAGGAGCTACTTATTTCTGCATGTCTGTGTGCATTTTTAGCTGCTCCACATTCCCTCGCTTTTTCACTTCTTAGTTTCATGTTTATAGCACTTGAAAAAGAATTGTTGTAGAACTGTCAAGAAGGACAAAAATGTCAATAATATGTAAAGTAATTATTCCAATGAATCTTGAGAAATTATTTTTAAAGCATTTGTAAGTGGGGCCAATTGACAAAATTATAAATTTTCTAGAACTTGAAATTAAAGTTGAGAAACCTTTCTTTGGTGACAGTACTTCTGTGGAAACACGACAACCAAGTAAATATATTAGGGCACTCAATACCCACCAAAGTAATTTATTTAGATAATTATTATGTCTATATTACTATAAAGCAGCACTATCATGCCTAGAGCCAACATAAAATGGTGAATGGGATTATATAAAGGGCCATACAGTTTAAAAAGCTGCTAAATGACAACTGTAGTACTTAGCTGATGCAAACTGCTGTAATTTAATTGAACTCAGACCTTTTTCAGTACTTTTCATACACTCCTTTACTATTTGTGCAGTAATTTACATCCTGAAAAGGTTCTGTAGTGCCCAAGACAAAGAGTAATTAAAGCCAAGACAAAACTATGACATTTTAATTGTTAAATGGCAGGATATTTCAACATATTTCTGTAGTCCACTACTGCACAAAACCTATTGAAATAATTAGTAATATTATCATGTATGTATACATTCTTTCACATGACAGATCTTCCTATCCATAAGTCATAAAAAGTGAAAGCTTTTCTTTCAACTAACACCCTCAGCCACCACAGCGCAGATGGAGACCATGACCTGTTAACATGTCTGTCTTATCTGTTTTCTGACACACAAAAAAAATTCAGCATGCATGTACAATTTATAGAAAAAGTTAGCATACTGGTAATCTTCTGCACTACTCCCAAACATCTTTTTATACATTGATTTGTTTCATTTATCCAGAAAGTTCTAGAGGAGAATGGGCAGGAAATTCGTTAGTGTGGTTTTCTATGCCAGCAAAGAAAACCTAACTGTATCCCCAGGCATACAAGTTGGATGCCTGAATTTATGGTATACATCAGCCACAGTTTTGGGAGCTGGAGATCTGCACTAAAGTGGTATTAAACATAGTCCATTCTCACAGACTGCCTCTGAAACACACTCTTTTATGTCATTAAAAAGCTCTCTTCCAATATCGTTTCTAATTAGTGTGAGCCAGCACAATCTGTCAAGTAAAAATCACAGTATGCAATAAAATATGCATGCCACCACATTCAAGAAGCAAATTTGCTTCTTGATCAGTCAAGCATTGTGCTGACATAAAACTGGAAAGCCTCTGTTGCTTTGCCAGCACTGCTTTTATTTGAGTTCAATAGAAATGCTGAATGATGAAGGCAGAGGTTTCTCACCATATGACTAGATGAGTCGTAAGTAAAATATGGAACCTGTGATAACTGTGCGCTAGTGAAAATTAAAATGTTAAATTTGTTTAATGTTTGAATAATTAAACAGATGACTCAACACAGAGGTTTTCTTTATATGTTGGAACACGTTTATATGTGACAAAACAGCTTCTGTTCATCTAAGGCTAAACTGGGGGTTTGCAGCCAGCTCTGTACCTTGGAAGGAAAAGTCAACCCCAAATCCTGATGGATACAGAAGAACCTGCAAGTCCCCTACAGTGCAGGTTGAGTCCAAACAAATACATCCTTCAGCACCTATAACAGTCCATTTGCCAAAGAGCTGAGGTCTTGCCCCATGCTCAAACCAACCAAAATAAAGAAGCATGTGAATAAATTATTTTTAACTTCTTATCACACAGGTAAAATTATCAGTAGACACCGCACTGAAGAGATTCCAGCCCTGATGGACTTACAGCAGTGAGAAGACATCTCAAGTCTCAGTTGCCAGTGCTCTAACATACTCGCTTCTCTGTACTAGAGTCAACACCTCATGTCATGAGTAGATGCCTGTGTCTGCTACGTGCAGACTCACCCAGTACTGCAGCAAGAGTAAACAAATTAGACATTTCTGCATGTAAAATGTAGACTAATTATAAAAGTACTTACATATCTTGTTTCACGCCCAGCTGCTCTCTGCAGTGTTGTTGACACCTTGTAGGAAATAAATAGATATATTGAGAGCAAAGGGAAGATATTATCATCATTGTGACAAGTTGTTAATTGCTCAAATCGAAGAAAATATTAGTTTCCAGAAAGATTCATGAGGCACATGACAATAAGGTATATTAAAGTTTTTCTTGATAAATTTATTGTAGAAAATACGATTTCATTTTTACTGCTTAAAAACTTTGATCACACTCTATCAAAGCTGGCCTTTAAATTATCTCTGAGAACTGTCCTAACAAAATGCTTATAGTAGACAGCCACAGGTGTGGTTGCCCCATGAAATTTAACTTAGATTTGCTCACAAAATAACCTGAAATGTCCTCTTTCCATGTTCTCATATGCAAGAACTTGCTTTCTTCTGACCAGTATTTCTAAGGAATTTACTTAGAACATACACTTTTTTTTCCTTCCTGTCTATGACTCTCTTTTACCTTCAGTTTAAGCAGTTTGCTCTCTCATTCTGAGGTCCTTACAACCTTTAGCTGGGTCCCTATGCTGCATCCTGTTAAATTCACCTTTTGTCCCTTTATTTGGTTCCATGACTGCTAACTCATGCCTTCCATTTGGTCAAGGTTCAATTCTCAGTTGCCCAAGGAAGTAGGTTTTGGATGCTTTACCTCAAAAGACCAACTTAACAGTAGCATTTTAACCACTTTGGATTCAGTGCAGGCGTTGGAAAAAATTTCCTCAATAACAATCTCTGCCTGCTTTTTTGGTTACTATCCTGTTTCTGACTTTCAGCTGCCTGAAGCCTGATTCACCACTGTGTGCAGGTTGAGAGAAGTAATTTCAAAAATGAAAATTAAATCTGAAGTGTATATTGAATATACCCACTCAGGAATGCTGGCTCTGTGCCCTATTTTTGCATGCTGGACTGGACATTGTGTAGGATATTTTGAATGCATTATCTTTTTGATGCGTTCCCCTGCCAAAAATCTCTTTCCTCTTGCTTCCAGTTGGATTTCTGCCACTTTCACTTTTCTATAGCTACTAATACCAACTTAAATTTACCTGGGGCAAATTGAATACAGGACTTTCCTCCCTTGGTTATTCATCTTTCTGAACCCAGAAGGCACACCAATATAATGTAGTGAAACCAGAACTTTAACATCAGTATAGAAAGTTATTCCTGCCTCTCACTACCAGTTTCTGAATTCTCCAGGGTAAACATAGGTAGAAGACATCTCCTTCCTGTGAGGGGCCAGAGCTGAAAGGAAATCAGCACTTTAGAGCAAGTCTATATATTCATTTAAATCAGCACTTTAGAGCAAGTCCATATATTCATTTAACTATCCCATTATTTGAAAACCAATAATGAATATGAAAACACAATTTATTCTGAAAGATGTTTCCAATTGCTGAAGCTAGAAACATTGGCTCCTCTCTAGTAAGGACCCATAGATGGGGTGAAATCTGGGAGAATGGCAGAGACTTTGAAATATGGAATGTAAGGTATGAAGGATTTCTTTCTTGTGGTTTCTAGCCTCTGAAACCTTAATAAACAACTTTTCTTTCATAACAACTCCTTTTGACTTCAGGAAAGAATCCTGCAACAAAGACTGCACTAACTCCAGGGCTACAGTTCTGTGCTTCCGTTTCTTTCAAATCACCAGACAATTCTACTGATGTTGCCTCCCTTAACCAAACCTTTCTATTGCCATAGGCTTTACTGTTGTGTCTTTGTTTGCTTTATGTCTACCCAGAAAGAACTTTTGGGCTTATTCACCTACCTTGCCAACATCCGACTCCGTGCTCATATGCAGGAAACTTGGAGAAGATTCGCATCGGCGCTGGAAAATGATTTTCAACAGAGAACAGACTTATTAACGACAAGATGAAAGGAAAGGAAGAGAAAAATCAATCACACATACAGATGGGTTACCATAGTCAACGGGTCCTGCAGGACTTGATCAATGACAGCACACAGCTCTTCTGTTTGTTGTCTGAGCTGGGCAGGGGAGCACATCTGAAAAAGGAGGGCACATCACTCAGTTAACCTTTGTTTTTTATTTTCAAACAGAAATTTAAAAGACATATAACAGCACTACCTCTGAATGAGTGTCCAAAGCAGTGCCTTCAGTCACACTAGCAGTCTTGGCTGGCTCTTCCAATGCCTGCAATTCAAAAGATTTTGGGGTGAGACTGGGTTCAAAATTTTTAAAATTAAGCAAACATACAGTTCTTGCAATACTGTGTTTCCACATGTGGTACTTTTTGTTTCACCATAGAAAGATGGAAAAAGAAGAAATTACAGGCCTAGTAAGGTTCTTGAGGTTATCAGCTTTTGATTCTGAGCTAGTGAGGGGGATTGCACAGAGGGACAGACAGTACTGTAGCTAGGTGAATCTTCTCTACTTTTATGGAACAGAAACTACCAATTTAAATTGCCCTCTCCTTTGACAATGCCCCGTCCCTTCACAGTAAGTGTAACGCGGTGAATGTACGCCGTGTGCCACAGAGGGCTCGGGGGCTGCCTGCCACACGCCATCGGACAACAGCACCTGGCTGTAGGCAGACGGAAGGGGCCCAAGCACACAGGGGGCCATTGCTTTTCCTCCAGTAGACATTTTCTTAAATAAGTGCATCCTTTACAGAGGATTCCACCTTGCAAGAAAAACAGTGCTTGACATTTTTGGATTTTAGCCTGAAATCAGAAACTTCTAAAACAAAATATGTGCTATATGTATGTGGTACCACACTAAAACACGGATGGTCTAAGCAGGTACGCAATCTCTCCAGAACAAAACACAAACTTCTTGCAAAAGGCAGCATTGAGGATGTGCTGCATATATTCCATTGACATCAGTGATGACTGCAATCCTCCCCTCCTCTTTTCCCCAAGCTATTTGATTGCTAAAGCTGTATCAGAGCTGAAAGGGTACTGGTAAATGATCCAAACAGGATCTCCAATATTTTGTTAGAAGAACAAAAGCTCTTGGCAACATATAAAAAATATAGAACATGGTTTCATCCACCAATGAACCACATAAATAGTAGGAAAAAAACCAAATATTGTAACCTGGATCTGACACAGCTTCCTTTACTGTATTGTGAAAACCGTAGACTGAGCAAAACCCAAGAAGTTTCCTCTTCTTGTATTTCTCTTTCATATTTTGCCCATCCATATCTTTTTCTAAGCCCTCAGCACATGCAAAAAATGCCCCTCTGTGTAGTGGAACTTCATATACCATGAGTTCATTTAACTTCTTCCTTAAAGAGCCTGGGAGATTATTCTGAAAAGACCTGACTACTTTTCCTCTTATAAAATAATTGGTATTAAAAGCTGCAAGGTCTTTGAATGAAAGAGGGAACTCATAGCCTGCTCTTACTTTGGCATGTCTGGTTATTATTACAGATGAACTAGGTCCTTCATCACTCTATGATGGCACAAATTATTTCCTTTCTTTCTTACCACTAGGTATTGATGTCTAACCTTGAGAAGCATTTTGACATGAACACATAACTGGATGCAAAAAATTCACCTAGTAAGTACACACCAGAAGTACTTGGGGAAAAATACAACCTTTTTTTATCAAAATATTCTCAACAAATTGTTGTCAGAAATGTTTTCCAGGTCCAGAAATATACTGATAGGCTTCATAACAGCCAATTGTCCAGCAGTTAGATCTACCATCTGAGACTGGGAAACACTGGCCTCCAATTTGCTGCTGGATGATTTCAAGGAACGACTTGAATCTGTGTTTGCCATGATCAGTCCCTACACCGCAGGATGTTTAACAGTACAATAAATAAGAGTTCCCTCAAGGCAAGAACTTAAAGCTGGGCCTCCAATGTAGCAGGTCATTGCCATATTTGCTAAACTGCATTTCTTTATTTTCGTGAAAAGAAAAACCATTCTCATTTTCCTTCTGCATGAGGAGAAAGATAACTTTTTTTTTCCCTTCTTCTTTTCCTCCACAAAGAGAACACGCTGCACTACTGGCAGTCTGCTGTGTAGGTGACAAAACGCAATTATTACGTCTCTGGAGTTTTTCTAGAAGTATAACATCATCTGTAATGACTGTTTTAGATTCTCTTGAGTTAGTCAAATTGAATTGTGACAAGAGAAAACGTGAAGAACCGCCATAAACAGACATCAATTACCTAGAATACTTATTCTTTAAGACAGAAGATTTTTTCTACATTTATTTAAAATTTAAATTATAGTTTTCTACTTGTAATTAGTTAATACAAGCCAGATAAGTCAACACTGCTGTCATTTGCAACTCTTCAATCTGCACAGCCAGTTATAACCAATGCTTTTCAGAAGACTTGGTAAGTGTGGGATAAGCCTCGACTATGAAGCAGGTGTGCTTCATGGCACACCCCATCATCCTGGTTTCACCTCTGTTCAGACTGGGTGAAGTCTGAGCTGAAGATTTGCTGTGCCTCTCCCCCCCTCAAGTCTATATGCCCAGGTTTCCTTCCCATCAAAATGATGCACAGATAAGGGAAGTTCACCCCAATCAGCATGCAGAGGGGCTGTGTATCTGGACAAACACAGTAAACACAAATTCCTCTGCATAGACAGTGCTGTAGACCAAAGACTGCTGAATTGTTAAGAGAATACTTTTTTGGTTTGCAATTCCAAGGCGTCCAGCATTTTGGAGTTACATCTCAAATTCGACATAATTGTGAAGATTAAGTAGAATCTGGTTTAAGAGATCTTCTACCTAAGCATTTTCTCTAGCTCCCTGAAATAAACTCTTCATCACTATCTATTTTGACTGAATGCTGTTTTCGTAAACATTCGATAAATACAGTCTCTAAATAATACATGCATTACTTATTAAATATTGTCAAAGTATACATATATATAGTCAATGAGCCTTTTCTTCCCTGCTAATGAGCACAGGTTTGAACAACTCACTTTGAGTAAGAGTACTGGAGGATAAGAACATGTTCTAGAAAAACCACTAAGATGATCCAAAGGAGGGCTACAAAAATGATCCGAGGGCTGGAGCACCTCTCCTATGAGGACAGGCTGGGAGAGTTGGACTTCTTCAGCCTGGGGAAGAGAAGGCTGTGGGGAGACCTGATTGCAGCTTTTCAGTACTTAAAGGGAGCCTATAGGAAAGATGGGCACAATCTTTTTAGTAGAGACAGCAGTGACAGGACGAGGGGGTAATGGTTTTAAACTAAAACAGGGTAGGTTTAGGCTGGATATAAAGAAGAAATTCTTTACAATGAGGGTTGTGAAACACTGGAACGGGTTGCCCAGAGAGGTAGTCGAGGCCCCATCCCTGGAAACATTCAAGACCAGGTTGGACAGGGCTCTGAGCAACCTGATCTAGTTAGTGGTGTCCCTGCTCACTGCGGGGGGGTTGGACTAGATGACCTCTAGGGGTCCCTTCCGACCCAAAACTTTCTACGATTCTATGATTCTATGATGCTAGTCAAATGGATTCATAAGAAAAAGCTGAAAAATGTTGGCTGAAATTAAAGCATCTACATATACATAAAAGAGAAAAATGACTTGAGAAAGAAAGTTAGACACAAGGAGACAATTTAAATGTAGACAAAGCATTGAATGTACATGACATATCAATGGCAGTTTTCTGTCATGGGATCTAATTAATGTTGCATGAGTTGTCACTAGGATCACCCACATCACAGTTCTGACTAATCATCTGTTTCATGACCACTCACTTAATCAAATTAAGTAATATAATTATTCACACAGTGGAAAAAAATTACTTTTGGAATGTGCATTTCCAGTTCAATCGCACAGCAAAACACTTTTTTAGCACTTTAGGCAGATGATGTATTCATGCATTCAGCTCAGTAATATCTGTGCCTTGCAGATATTACATACCTTCCTTTCTTGGTAAAAAAAAAAAAGCCACTCAAAAACAACTTCTCCACATAACCATTATCTTAATGTTAATAAAACATCACTTGTGTAGTTAAAATCTTATTGTCTTGAATCTCTTTCTTCTTAATCCAGCACATAAAATGCATTACATAAAATGGGAGCAACACAATTATTGTCATTGGGCTACAGTGTGATAGAAGTTCCTTCCCTCTTACCTCCCCACTATCTTTGAGGAGATTAGTTGGGTAGTAGGGCTTGGTAAAATGGGGCCTCTGTGTGCCATGTGACTCCTTCATTCTTCTGTAAGAGCCATACTCCAAATGCATGTCAGCTAACTCAAGAGGACTAGTTTAGGAGCACTATAATTAGCTGCTGGCATGGATCAATAGGAGATTATTGTTCTTAATTCCCAAGATAAGAGAAAGCATGTAGTCAGGCCATGCTGAAATATACAGTTTACGAAGTAAATTTGTCAAGACCCTCTCCTGAAGGCAAATCCTGTAGCAGAAAATTGATTTCTTATTAGTTTTACATGACTTTGATTTAAATACTGAAGGATACACCAAAGCCAGCATTTTCAATAAAGCTATGGATAACCAGAAGTCTCTGTCTAAACACAGATATCTTTTGAGTTATTACATTTTCTACAGATACTGGCATTAGATTGTACAATTCAGTTTTATGTACTGGGGATAAGTAGCACATAGCTTGTGAGTCAATGCCGCAGAGAGCTTCAGCGAGACCAGACAAAGGAATCCCCTTTCTTCTGAAAAAGTGCTGTCCGACGGCAACATTAACCCACTAGTTTACATCTGGATTGTGCTCTCAAAATGAATATCCTGCTCAAAGTCACCTACTTGACTTGTTTTGTGGAGTAGTGCAGTCTTAGAGTGCACAAACTGAATGCCTTTTAGATTAAGTCAACCCTGAAATAGCACCTCAGGAGTCCACCAAATGCTTCCAGTCACTAACAGGCACTCTGCCAAAACAAAACCCTCCCAAAATACATTCCGTAGGGGTGTAGGATCCCCTGCATCAGCTATTTTCCTCTACAGAATCATTTCTATTGGACCACACTGAATGCTATCATATACATAGCCTTCGTTATTGCACTCAAGCTTTAAGGAAGGGAAGGATCAGATTTTATGCAAATAATTAAAAGAACATTGGAAAAAAAAGGAATGTCCCTTTTTGGGAAAAAAAAAATATAGTATTTATAGCAGTTAACTGATAACTACTAGACCACAGTCAGTAATATTTCCAGGACAAAATTGTCATCTTCAAAATTATAACACAGTA